ACCAGCACTCAGCAGTAACCAGCTGAGGTTAAAGCCTCTCAGCGCTGTGGCTCTCAGGAAAACACATCAGGACAGAAAAAGGGACCAACCAAAACAAGTTGAACTGCTTAGTGGGTCTACCATGCAGCAGGACTGTTTCACATATGATAACAATCAATATTGTATCTAAATTCTTACTTCATTCTGCTGACCAAAAGCTTGCATATTACACAGAAATTGAAAAGTCTTTGAACTCATTTTACATACTGTTTCTGGGGACACAATTACTCATTGTGCAGTCATCAATAACTCTAAACTATACGAACTATGTAAACTGATAACTAAACCTCAAATACACATACGATTACCCACTTGAATGTCCAGTCAAAGCCTATGGAATAAATATGCTTTGTTCTTTTCAGCTATGGTAAATATGTTTCCAGTTTAGGAAGTCTTTAATGTATCATTCCTCTCCTGCAGAGCATGCATGGTCTATTATCCTCAGCATTCGATGTACTAAGCTCCCACACAGATAGATTCAGGCTATATTGCAGCTGAGAGAAATTCATTGGCAAAGCACACTGTTTTCCAAAAGGGATTGTTCATATTGCGGATCTGCTATAAACAGGATTTTGTGATACAATAACATGAGGACAGTATCATCTGGGATGTGGAGAGTATGTAGCAGCTGCATTATAGGTATCAACAGAGGATTATAATGAATCTTACCATACTGATCACACATACTGTATTAAAGCCCTTTGGCAGGACGCTTTGCTCAATTGTTTTTACCATAATTGTGTTAATTACACTACCATTATTTTTGTACAATGAATGAGTAACTATGAAAAGATTTTTTTTCATAACAATATTTCTTAGCATTTAAGTCTTTTAAGTCTATTGTTTTCTTTCTCATCATTTTGCAAGAAGCAAGATGTCTATAAAAATGAGAGCTTACTACACTGACAAAAGGGTCTATTTGTGTCCCAGTGAGACCTTCTCATTGTATTAAAATGTGATGTCTCATTATAAAATCTCAGTGGGAACAAAGCTGTTAAAGTGGGACAGATGGAAAGCAATTTAAAGTGTTGGAAGCATTTCTGTCCTGTCTTTTATTAGCCATAAAAATGGAGCGTGTTATGTAGAACTCGATAGACTGATGGATTTACAATTACAAGGGAAACAGACTTTTAATGTCACAATGTATCACTTGACAGCACCTGAATGAACAATGAAAGACAAGCACACATGCGCGCACATGCACACATGTGCTCCACTGACCCTGCTGGAATGTCCTTGAATGTACATCTATTCTTCACTAGACCCTTATTTTCTCTTTAGTACCACACAGAGTGACACGCTGCTCAAAACATGTCTTAAATCCTCTCTTAAAAGACCCAGAAATACCGCACACAGAAACACATCTGTGGTGTAGACAGATATCGACTATTTGTTGAAAGAACAACCAAATGTCTAAATCACAAGGCTGGGCCCCTAATCTTGACAGGCCAGGGTCGGGCAGGAAATGATGTCACAGTCACAGCAGCAGATCTCCAGACGCTGATAAGGTCACCCTCCCTGGGAAAGCGAAACAAGGGAGAGACAGACAAGCGCTTTGTCTTCTCTTTCTACCTTTCATCTTGTCCCATCAAGACAAGAGTGATTACAGCCAAAAGCTATTCAGACATTCGTCACTGAGACAGTGCACTTCATAATAATGTCACTGAGACATGCTGAAAGTGTTTGGGTCTCATCCAAGAGCTGGATAACCTCGATAAATTATCAATGCTGAGATTGCTCTTCACTCCACTTGTGCTAAATGAAAACAGCCCGCGACACATAAAGTTAATGAATATAGGCTTGGAGAACAAATGGAGTCAGGTAATTGATCCAAGGAGTGATACAGGGGGTAGATTGCCAAGAGGAGAGTTGATGTTTTGCCATCCTTTAATTACGATATTAGTCTGTACACTCACTGTGAGTCACGCTTTGTAAACCTTCAAGACTGTAGGCTGCTGAGTCTCAGTGTACATGGGAGGTTATGTGGGCGAGTGTTGGTTTGAAAGTAAATCACTGAAGGGGTCCTCCAGACTCGCCTTAGGGGTCTCCCACTCACTGGAAAGGAATTAGACACGGAGGGAGGAAGGGAAGACGGAGCATTCAGGGTCTCATCCTGCTGTGCTTTTGCGTGTGAAGTGTGTGTGAATGTATGTGTTTATGTCTATGCTTAAGAAATTGCAGTACATGTGCATGTTTGTATGGTTGCTTAATGAACCCGTGTGGGTGTATGCTCCAAACTTCCTGGCTTTAGCAGTATCTCCGGAAACTCTCTATCTCTGTGTACATTTCTTCGTCTAGTTTTGTCTGGTTGTGTGTACCTATGTCTGTTTATGTCTGCATTTTTAAGTGCACCCTATCAAATCTTCACATTCACTGACTCACAGAGCACAGCGCAGCCCCCTCCACCCCCTCCAACGTCTCTCTGTTGGTTTAGATGGACAGCCCATCTGGTTTTCATGAAGGAGGGATCAAAACTGAGTGTCAGCCCGCTGTGGCCCGCTTTCATCCTCTCCACCCTCAACTTCATCGTCACGCTTCTGCTAGGGAGACAGCCTTGACTGGTCTGGATCTTGACAATGAATGAAACGAAAACAAAAGTAGATTGCCTCTCTTTCTCGTAAATCTGAGTCACTGATAAAAGATATTTTATCGTAAATAAATAATTTGCCAAAGATATGTTTGAGGTCACTTAGAAACAGTAATATCATTATATAGTGTATTCCACAGAGAGCACTGACAAGATTATTTTTCAACTGTAAAATGTCCTGGTCAATAAATATCTTGATCACAATTAAAATTGAAAGGATCCTTATCAAAAATGTGTATTCATGTAATGTGTTTGTGTGTATTGGCTGATAGATTGCTAACAGTTTCTTTGAATTCTTAAAGCTGTTTTAATCAATATTTTATATGAATCAAATGACCACTTGTAATGTGAAAGGTGTTGTTGGTTGTGCACTCTTCTCTGCACTAAACGGCAATAAGACATAATTTGCGAGGTGAGCGATCAAGCCTTTAATAACTAAAGAGCGAGATATTTTTCTTTAGAGTTGGTAGAGACCGAAAACAGAGCTAAATGAAACGTGAATATTGCACTTTACATCCACCAGGTGGCCAGAAACATCTATAAAATAACTCTAAAAAATACTGCTCCATATTTCCTGGTGTGTTTTGGTAATTTTTATTTTATGTCAATTGTGCCAAAAAAAAGTGCAAGGGCAAGTTAAATATGGTTTCAAAATCCAGTATTGGTCAGTCTCCAGTCAAAGATATCACTCAGATATCACCGGATTTAGTGACATCTAGCGGTGTAGTTGCATATTGCAACTCCTTCTTATCACCGTCCCCTTCCAAGCACAAAGGGACAACTAAGGTGGCCAATTGTCCCAGTGAAATACGCAAACGGCCCTATCTAAAGCCTGTGTTTGGGCTGCTGTAGAAACATGGTGGTTCAACATGGTGGACTCAAGAACATTCTTATTTTCAGGTGATTATCAAAACATAGAGTTCCTATGAATATTATATTCCATTTCTGCCAATAGATCCTCTGTTACACACTGGTCTTTTAAATAGACTGATCATTATTGAATGAGTATTAGCTAGAAAATTCTACAGGTAACCTCTGCTGATAAACTTTTCTGTTCAATCTGTCAAAATTTGTGGGAGTAGATAGAGATATTCTTGTGGAATATGAAAGACATGAGTTGTAGTTGTCCATAAAGTAAGAAAGAGGCAGAGAAATAATGACTGAAAACAAGAGAATGAAACAAAGAGGAGAAACAGGGAATGGAATAGTGTATCAAGTTTTCAAGGACGTCACCTACATATTTTTGTGGTTCAGGGTGAAAGACAAATTAGCATGGCTTTCTTTCTGTGAAAGAAAAACATGTGCGGAATGCTCAAGAGACTGCAGTTTCTGCAAAGCGGGAAACCGCAGATACCGAGAGAGTCAGAAAGAGAGAGAGGCTGAGGCTTAAGTTTCATATTTCTAGCTGCAACTTCACCTGCTGAATAAAGAGAAACTTTTGATTAAAAGAAATATATTCTGCCTTTTTCTACTTGTGAGGAAAATATCCATGGGCTCTCATGTAATTTCTGGAATTTGAACGAACAAACAGACAGAGGTTGAGACCAACTGTGAGCTGCTTGTCTAAACCACCTCGCTCATTCTCTGGCCTTCAGCCGACAGAAATAAACGATTGCCTGTCAATCTTTTTCCTCAAGGAATGTCTCATGTGATGAGCCTCGCTTCTTGCAGCAGCAGGTCTTGGGTTTCATATTCTATACATCTTCCAACTCCAGATGTAAAATGTAGTCCAGAGGGTGTAACCCTACATTCCTTAGGCCTAATGTGTAGGTATAGCAGCACCCTTCACAGGCCTGCTGTTTGGCGTGGACCTCTGCAGGGAAGCCCCCTCTCTGCTGTATCTCCCTCTGATATTAGTCAAAGACTGGGCAGTCTGCCGGTAGACAATTGTTGAAGAAAGGAAATGAGAAAGCCCGGTGCAGACAGTGGAAGTCGACGAGGGATAGGAGAGAGAAGAAAGACCGACTTAGCCTTCTGAAAGCTTCCAGTGATTAAAATAGAAAGAAAGGGGCCACAAACGAGGGGCTGGATTTCTGCCGCTCTCTGATGCCGAGAGTGTGTACGCATTTGTGTGTGTATACATGCATTACAAAGTAAGACTAGGGAATGTGTAAATTCTTACATTACATACAGTAACACATTCATTCAGTGTATGACTGGCATGCTTTTGTGCATTGAATTTGTGACATATTATGTCAGATTTGCAGCATATTGTGTTTAGAGCCTGTGTGTGTTTGGGAGAGAGCAAAGAAACTCTGAAAAGCCTCGAGGGGGATTTCCTCAGAAAGGGAAAGCTTTTCTCCTCCCCCTCTCAGACACTCTCATTCCCTCCTTCCTTCTCTCTCTCTCTCTCTCTCTCTCTCTCTCTCTCTCTCTCAACCCCAAACACTCCGAGAAGCCAGAGACGCAAAGGAGAAGTGAAAGAGGAGCTAGAAGATCAACAGGCAGCCTGGCAATTTGTTGCTTTCTGTGCTACACACTCACAGACTTGCGTAAAGGTCTATGAAGAATGGAAATAACTTTACTTACTTTTCGATCAAGACAACTCACTGTCATGTGGATGTACTTCAGTCGACTTCTGTTGTTGATGCACTAAACATGGCAAGTCTCCCAGCACAGAGCCCAGGGAGGCTGTCTGGAGAGGATTATCAGGACAAAAAATGAGAAAACTTTCTGCCTGATAGAGGAGAAACTACTGCAAAGATGGTAAAGTAACATCCAAGTTTTACTCCTATGTGTCATTCTTGTTACTTTCTGGTGTAAGATTTAAAGTGCTCCACTGACCCAGTAACTGAGAGCGTGAGTTTCTGGTTTGGACAAGTGACTTTGTTTCTCTCTGTCATGCTGCAAGTTTTAGAAACCTGATGTAAGCACAGTTCACACATTTCAATCCCTTTTTTCTGTAGCATGATATTTTCTTTCTTTGTTCTTTTTTTTAATGAAATTTTATAAAATAAAGCTAATGTAACTGCACTCTTCAAAGCTTTTTGTTATCCCGTGCACAGTTGGTGGGACTGTTTCACATCAACAGCCCACAGCATCTCCAGCTTTTTAAGTGTGTGCACAATTACAAAGAGAGAGTGACAGAGAGAGGAACATTGTATTTTGTTTTGCATCTTTAAGTCCTTTGATTAGGACTTAATTGATGCAGATGGCACACATACTTCAGGGAATGGAGAGTGTCGTGGTGTATAAATTATTTGACTACTTTGCATGTGCACATAATGGAATTCTCCAGTTCAGTGTTAGGCACTTAAAAAAGTTCAAACCGCAGGGCTTTTTACGACTGGAGAGAGTCTAATCCCGGTCCTAACAGAAACTAAGATGGGAACGTGATAGACTTGGGTTTGTGGGAGGATGTGGCTTCTTTGAACTTTTATTCACCGGTTGTTACTGCTGAGAAAATTGTCAAATAAATGCAAATAAATAGTAAGCTTTAGATAAAGATAATACTGTATTGTTGAATATTGATCTCTTAGCTCTCTGCTGGCTATAAACACACATTTTTGGTAAACTGAAATATATTAATTCACTTACTATTAATTTTTCTGTTTATTCACTGTACCTTTCTTCCTTATATGGAAAGCAGTCAGACCCATAACATCTGTCTATGCGTGCCAGATAAATTTACAGAGAGCAGAAAAGTAAGGATGTTAAAGGAGTCCAGACTTGGCTCCTCATCATGGCGACCAGCACTGTACTTTGTCCTACCTTCACATTCATTGCACTTGTTTGACCAGCTTTTACAGCCCCAACTGTTTGTTTTACTTATTGCATGACTGATGTCGTTTTCCGTGACCACCCTCCAACTTAAAGTCATGAGCCTGCAGAGTCTAAATTATTAGATTACTGCACCATGCACAACCAGGAGTTTCAATCTAGGGTAAACACTCAGTAGCCCAGAGCCAAGACCTGCTGGTGTGCATTGTATTTGCATTTAGTTACTGTGTGACGCGGATGACCAAGAGTCATTCATTCACCAGCAAGGTCAAGCACTTTACTTCTTAAGGCCTTACAGTAGCATGTTTTTTTTCATTCACTGAACAGTAAACATGGTTATCTGGTGCAGATTGTTTTCACATTTGTTTGCCTGTTGCAGTATTCAAAGTATATTCAAAGTTAATGCAAATTATCAAAGCATGTATGAGAGTTGCTCTAAGACTTTTGACGTGCTCTCGTCTTGTCCAAACATGTTTAGTTTGAGCCTAGCAGGTTTTTCTGTGATTCATCTAAAATTGTAAAAATGCCAAACATCATTAGGTTATTTTTAGAAGAACAAGTGAAAGATGGTAGATCTATCTTTTCCAAGGCAAAATATGAACCAGGAGACTGATCTCTTTGAAAATGCATTAAGCAAGCAGTTAGCAAGCAACAAGCAGTTAATAAAACATTGATAAATTATCACCCTATGAAGTTTAAAGGGTGAACATGTTAGCAAACAATGATCTATTTAGACATCTTGCAGACACATCTTGCAACATTAACATTCATTTAGTGTCTTGTTTGTGTCCACCTGATGGATGTAAGTCCATTATCCACTTTCCCTTTTGCTCTGTTTTGCTCTCCACTAACTAAATATTCAATTCAATTCAATTTTATTTGTATAGCGCCAATTCATAACAGAAGTTATCTCAGGACACTTCAAATACAGTAGGTCTAGACCGAACTCCTGTGTCTTTAGCTCCTAAATGCTCCGTAGTGTTCACTAGCTATAGTCGCTAACTTTGCCTGTCAGAGGTTTGGAGCTGTTCAGATGATAGGGGTTTACCAGTGTCTTTTTGCTGTACGTCTAAAAATGATGCTAATGAAAACGTTGAGACTGAACAAACAAAATCAGTAAAGTTGTGGGCTGAAAACAATGAGCTGAAAGATGCTAAAATGCTTAGTACATCAGAAGAGAACAGCAGAGTTGGGTGTTTATTTTCTGTCGATTTCTCATTACAAGTGACCTATTATCTCACATACCTGCTCCATCTCATCAGTGACCTTATCGGGTCACTCAGTTATGCTCATCAGTCATAGTGCATTTTTCAGTCACTCAGCTGAGAGTATGCATGCACATACGTTAATCTATTAGCCATTCAAAACACTGTGGACACACTGTGTGAGAGCATCCAGATTTTGATTGGGTGACTGTATATGTGCTGACCCGGCTTTAAAGGGTCACAGCGGTGTCTCTCGCTCTATAACAGCCATGGGACAGTCATCAGTAGCTACCTCCCCTGCCTGTAACAAGCCACCGCGTCTTTACAATACTATCGTCTGTGCTCCCTTTGGCAGACAAATAATACTTCCCGCCCACTGCTTCGCTTGCTGTGATTTTGCCAAATTTCTAGAGGCAGACAGGGAAAATCTATGCAATAAACTGATGTGATTTGTGAGAGAAAATATGCATAATTGCAGACATCTGTCTCATCTCACTGTATGAGCTGAATAATTTCTATTTTGCTTTAGTCAGCAAGTCTATGTTCTGAGAGTTGTCATGGAGCTGTGAACCATATTTTCACTGTGTTTATTATCGCTGTATCACAAAACTGGGTCAAACTCAACAGAGACTGTGCAGTGTATATTCAAAACCATTGCGCATTTGGGGGGGATGTCAGCTATGTGCAGCTATAAGCTGTCTGTGAAGCAGTTTTCAGCATGCATTGTCTCTAGAAACACTGCCACATTGTCTTTTGCCTCCCAGACTGTTTGTCTGAAAGGTAGTGTTGTTGTGGCCCCTCTGCTTGCTTTCTTAGGACGATAACAGTTGTATTATAGCTAGTTTAGTGATCATGACACATGAGTCTCCTGTCATCATAATTCAAAAGACTGTTTTTGATTGCTGGAATTCAAAACCAGCTGAACAGCCTCAATCCAACCTTTAGGGCTGCGCATAGGGTGGCGCCCTGTGTGACAAGGCAACATTTCCTGAATAAAGACTTTTCGTTTTTATATTTTTAAATTTAGTTTGACAATGTCATTTTTCTCTGTCCTGCATTTTTTTTAGATGCGGAGAATGCCAGGTATACTGCTCTAGCTCTGTTTGTGTACAAACTTTGCTAATCTCAAGAAGAACAGCAGCAGATGTCAGTGTTTAGTAAACTACTTGTATACACCCTCACATGCTGACCAACTAACAAATCCCTTGTGCTAGGACTTAATGGATTTCACAAGGCCTTCCTTTACTTGTATCATTAATCGTTTTCAATTTCTTGGCCATTTTAACATTGCGAGTTGAACTATGGGAGCTATTATGTTGTACTGCAGTCTCCAAAAACAAACCATTTTAAATTTTATTCCTCATAGTTTGCCAGAATGCAGCCCCTTTTGTCTTTGTGTTAATGGGAGCGGTTCATTATGAGTCACACATGGTGAAATTCCAGAAAAAAAAAAGTTAAAATGTGAACTCTTCAATTGTTACATGGTAGTTTTAGTTTTTAATGTTCACTTGGGCTTTTTATCTTCTGGGGAAGCTGTCTGTTTGTCTGTCCCTACAACAAACCCGCTGCACTTCCTTGCCAATCACCTCATCAGGCATTTGGCAACTTGGCTAAACTACACTTGTCTGATCCTGCGGTACTATTTAAGAAATATGCTGACCTGGCAAGACAGCAAAGGAGATAATCAGTCCTTTTGTTGACTGCATCCGACACAGTAGTATCCTCCATTCAGCGAATGAATGGACGCATTGTTTCAGCCCACTGTTTTTTAAATGTTACATATTATAACCTGTAGTCTGTGCAGCTGTGACTCAGAGTTTTTGGATTTCAAAAGAGATGACAGAGGAGATTAACACTGGATTCAGACACACTTGGTTGATTGTCCTACAAGACGATAGAAGACACATTTTCTGAAGGGTTGTTTTGCGACTTTTAAGTTCTACAGTAGAATATCACAAGCCAGACGTCCATTGTTCATTATTTAGAGATTCTGGGAAGATTAATGAGGGACTTGTGAAATCAATCACAGCCACCCACACATAATACCGTAGAAACTGGCCAGTTTAAAATTCTTGGATCTATTGCAATACTAGAAAAAAGGTCCAAACCAGAAACCTGACACACTATTTATGTGGCCTCCTCACTTTCCAAACATAGCTTGAGTTCTTGCAAACTACAAAATGAATGAATGAATAATAGGAACCCTGCCAGATTAGAGGTCTGTTAGCGAACACACACCGTGTTTACCCCTGGCAGCAGTGACTCTACGAAATGCTGTAGGAGTTTTGTCTTGTAGGGGCCTTTTTATTGCTTAAAAGGATTTAAGATGGCTTAGCTGAATGGAGTGCCCCTCTGCTGAGTTTAACAAGTGGATCTTGCACAAAGATAAGACTGTCTCACCAGCAAAACAGGAGATACCAATGTTTATGGAGGAAAAAGAAGAAGATAGGGAATAACCGAGAGATACTGGAAACATGTTTTTGATGATGTGTGATGATATGACTGAGGCTGTGATCTTGATTGTGATTATGATTGCACCGACACTCAACATCATCCCACATTTGGGTTTTGTGTGGAACCACTAATAAGCTGTAAATATGTTTACTGTGACTATTTCTGAACCACAAATAAAGAGAAAGAAAGGTGAAATCTGCATATGGACATGAATCACTTGACATTTATACCCCTTATTCTTCCCATTCTTGTGGTTAGGTGTCGTATCCCATCAGCCTTCTGTGTCCACACTGTGAGTGGCTGCTGTTCTGGCTGAGTGTGTGGTGT